TTGTCCATGGCCACTGGCTAGGCCCATATGCATGCACACAAGTCCTTTGGTTGATCTCTCCCTCTAACCCCCAACCTCCCCTACCTTCCCTCTGAGGTTTGAGAGTCTGATCGCTGCTTCTCTGGGTCTGTTTTTGTTCATCAGTCTATGTTGTTCATCATTTCCTCTAGATGTGTGGGATCATGTGATCCAAGAAATACCCTGTAAGAACCGAAACTGAGACAAGCCATAATGGTTATGCTGAGAGGCAAATGAATCAGTCTGTAGTGAGTTCCTTTCTGGGCCAACAGTTCTTTTGAGTCCCAATTTCAATGTCAAACAGTTCCTTATGTGTACATGTCACCCATGCTATTTCAGATCTGGTTGGTGGACAAATGGTGGTGATGCAGGTCCGACCGTCTCTGGTTTGGTCCTGGGCATCTTTCAGGGACACGCAGCTGCTGCCTGCTGGTATGGCGAGGCAAGGTCAGCGTCTTCCATCTCTGAACTGTGTCTCTTCTGTCTTCATGGCTGGGTTTACTCTTTAACTCCTAAACCGAGAATAACCTTACATTTTAAAACCAGAAGAACTTAGTAGTGAATCTTTCATAGTGGAATCTAAAAACAGAATGCATCTAATCCTTGTAATTTCATTTAGAGCCTTGATGTGGATACCTTCATTCATTGTGTATATAGTATGATTCTCTTTCCCCCACCAACTAATACTTCATCATATTTGGGCTCAAACTTGTCTTTCTAATCACAGATTATTTCTTTCAGAAGGGAACACCAACACTTATTTACCTAAGTCTCTTGCCCATTTCAAAAAAGATTTTTTATCTCCCTTTTATCTACGCCATTATCTTTATTTAATGAATAAATAAAAATTATTGATATTTATTGGAAATTTTTATTTATGACAGAGGACAAAACAATTGTATTACAGACCCAAATTAAACTCACACAAACCATTAACCAACCTCCCTCCCTCCCTCCCTTCCTTCCTTCCTTCCTTCCTTCCTTCCTTCCTTCCTTCTTTCCTTCCTTCCTTCCATCTTTTCTTTCCTTAACTATTATTTTTTATCCTCACCCAAATATATGATCTCACTGACTTGAGAGAGAGAGAGAAACATCAATGTAAGAGAGAAATATTGATCAGTTGGCTTCCTTATGTGCCTCAACCAGGATTGAACCTGCAGCCTAGGTATGTGACCTGACTGGGAATCAATCCTGAACTTTTGTGTACGGGATGATGCTCCAACAATGAAGTGACTAAGCCTGGGCTTACCTAATATTTCTATGTAGCTGAAGCACAAGGAAATATGGGGAGTACTGGAGTGTTGAAAAGATGACTGAAATAAGAAAAATTTTTCTGTTAATATAATGTGCTAACCAGTTGTTTTTACTTTGTAATCATAGATTCACAGACTCATACATTGTAATGAGGTGAAAATTACTTCAGATCATTTTACTCATCTTGCTATCCATGCCTCCAACACTGTCTTACAGAAACAATCTTAGCAAGGTAAAATTAACTGCACAGGATCACATACTTATCTCCACAATATCGTAATTAAATGGATGGCATTCAGATAGCAGAACAAACACAATTCTCTACTTTTCTCTTGCTCCTCAGAACACTGAGATTATAAGAAATTTTTTACTTTAAATGAAAACTGACAGTATTGGAAAACAACAGAAAGATTCTCATGACAGTTTAAAAAAAAATACTAGAAGAGGAAAAGTAAACAGGGTCTGATTATTAGAGAAATTGTAGCAAAAAACTATGGTCTCACATGCCCTCAGTAGAAAGGAGAAGGAGTCTGGTTTTTCAAGGGCTCGTCAAAGGTTCCCCATGCTCAGAATTAACAATTAGAAAAAGAAAGACCTACCAGTTTTGCTCAGTGAATAGAGCGTAGGCCTGCAGATCAAAGGGTTCCAGGTTCAATTCCAGTTAAGGGCACATACGTTGGTTGCCCTGGTCCGGGCAGATGCAAGAGGCAATCAATAAATGTGTTTCTCTCACATTGATATTTCTCTCTGTCTTTCTCTCTCTCTCTCTTCTACTCTCTCTAAGAATCAATGGGAAAATATTATCTGGTGAGGATTAAAAAAAAAAAGTAGATTGTATAAAAATGTCAGCATAATTAAAGAATCACAGTGAAAAAGAAAGTTCCAGCAGGAAATTAGATAGAGGCTAATCCTTGTCATTTCTTTTAGAGCCCTGATGTGGATATCTTCATTCACTGTGTATATAGTATGACTCTTTCTAATAACGGCTGGAGTTTTGGCTGGAGAGAATTCACTAACATGGCCTAACTCAAGACTTCGATTCCATGTTATGCCCTTTTCAACATTATTGGCTAATTTCCTTTTCCCCTCTTTATCCCCAAAACTAGTATTGTTAGGATATTATTTAAATATATAGTAGTACATCCATTCAATGAAATACTATTCAGCCATTCAAAGGAACGAGCTACATCTGTAGGACATAGGAAACATGGAAAGGCAAGTTTCAAACATCAATAGGTACCACCACCACAGGTGCCAGCAGGTCACTATTCAATTCCAGATCAGGGCACATGCCTGGCACATGCAGGCTCAATCCCCAATGGGGGGGTGGGGGTGGGTGGCATGCAGGAGGCAGCCAATCGCTGATTCTCTCTTATCATTGATGTTTCTATCTCTGTCTCTCTCCCTGCCTCTCTCTGAAATCAATAAAAACATTTTTTTAAATGTACAGAAAGGAAGCAAAATTGAAAGAATACGGATTTTTCTTTGACATATAGACAAGCACAATTCTTGATAATACTTGTGCATGCTATTTTATGAATTTTATGATTTTGTGAATTTATAGTCATAACTAAAAACAATCACTGTGGCTCTAAATTAAGTTATTTCATATGACAATCTTCATGACATAAATATAACTATCATATGAGCGCTTTAAAAGGAGACTGTTTAAAGAGATTAAAAATTGGTGCAGGAGGTTTGCATCTCAGACCAAAGAGACGGAGAGGGAGGTCAGGGTTAATTCAGCAGGAAGCGGAAGTCCACATCCCCAATCACAGAGGAGAGGCTAAGGCTGCACAGACAGACACTCACATCCACGCCCAAAGATGAAGGAGGCCTGCATGATACAGCCTGAAGCTATAGCCACATCCAAGGAAGGAGACGAGGGTTTATGTAACTGGAAATGAACACCCGGATTATTCATATCTAAATCCCACAGAAGTAAGCTGGCCATGGATGGTGGGAATATAAAATGAGCCTCTCTGGAAAACAGTCCAGGCAGTTCTTAAAGCACTGCGTCTTCAACCACTACACAACTCAGTTCTAGGCGTATCCCAGTTCTAGGCTTATCCCAGAGAAATGGAAACCTACAGGTTCTCACCCAAACCTGTCCTGAAACGCTCACAGCTACGGAATCTGTAATAGGCAAACACTGGAGACAGCCCCAACAAGGATATTTTATTATTTTTTTTATATAAAATATATTTTATTGATTTTTTTTTTTACAGAGAGCTAGAAATATCAAATGAGAGATTAACATCTATCAGCTGCTTCCTGCACACCCCCTACTGGGGATGTGCCCGCAACCAAGGTACATGCCCTTGACCAGAATTGAACCTGGGACCCTTCAGTCTGCAAGCCAAAGCTCTATCCACTGAGCCAAACCGGTTTTGGCAACAAAGACATTTTAAAGGGCGAATGGTGAAACTGACTGTGGTATGTCCATGACAAAGAGTAGTACTCAGCAACTAACAAGGGAACCAAATACTGACCCGTGTGCCGCGGGGACACTTGCTTCCTAATGCAGACAGAAGGTGGTTAGGGCTTATAAAGCAGACACGCTGGAGGAATCCCAGCGAGCCTGGGTGACTCTCCAAAGAATGATGCTGAGAGAGAAAAGCCAACCCCCCAATTGCACATAACGTACAATTCCGTTATTACAGAACTCCCCACCTGGCAGAATTCTGAACGGGGGAGCAGCCTAGCAGTCACCAGACACGGGGGAGTGGGGCAGGGAGGAGTGAGACAGCAAGGGAAGGGCACGCATATGGCACCCTGGTGGTGACACTGGATCTTTTCCCACGATGCCATTCACGTCCAAACGGCGTACGGGAACCTATTAGTTCTTACAAGCGGATGAGAATCCACACACACACACAAAAGCAAACACACAAGGAGTTAAATCACGTATGTTAGCAGCCACAGCTTGGGAATCCTGGCCGTGGACCAGCCCCCAGTGCGGTCCTCTGCCTTTGGAAGAACTCCCTCCCTCCCAGCAGGACCAGGCCCCAAACGCCACAAGCACAGGAGGTGGCTCAGGAGAACCAAGACAGCGATGGAAAAAATAAAAAAATAAAAAATAAAAAAAGATGAAGAAATTCTCAAGGAGCAGCGGGAATGCGTACAGAGGGCAAAAGCCAGGCAAAGAGCCATCCCAGACCAGCCAGCGACCGAGCGACAGTGGGCGGCAGACTGGGTGCGCCCCGAAGTACACACTGAGCATCAACTAGCAGCCCCCCAGCCCGCGCTGCATGGACGGATGCTCATACCCGCCCATGCTTTGGATAAACTAACTATCAACTAGCAGCCGTCCAAGCCCGAGCTGCTTGGACGAATGCACATGCTCACCGATGCTTGAATAAACTAAGTATCAGCCAGGAGCCAGCCGTGCAGGCTGGGCCGCCTGCAGGAATGCACATGCGCACTGATGCCCTGCACGTGCTTGGACCCAGAGCCCCGGGGGCCAGAGGGCCCTGCGCCTCCACTCCGCCAGGTGGAGCTTATCCGGGCACCGGGGCGTCTGCGGGTCAGAGGTCACGCACACACGTGCCCAAACCCGCCCGCGCTGAGGGTCCCCTCAGGCTCCGCCCCCCCGGACCCCACACCCTGCAGAACTGCCCGGACGCCCGGACGCTCGGACACCCGCTGCAGCGCCCGCTCTCCAAAGGCGCTCCGACCTCCGACCTCCGACCTCCGACCTCAGCCTCGGCACCCCGGAGCCCCGCGCCATGGCCCACCTGCGCTCCTGCGAGGTCCGCCAGCTGCTGCACAACAAGTTCGTGGTGGTGATGGGCGACGCGGCGCAGCGGGCGGTGTACAAGGACCTGGTCCTGCTGCTGCAGCGGGACGCGCTGCTGTCGGCCGGGCAGCTGCAGGCCGAGGGCGAGCCCAGCTTCGAGGGCGACGCGCTGCTGGAGGGCGGCGGCGGCGGCGCGCCGGGCGGCGAGGTGCGCCAGTTCCGGGCGCCGCACCACCTGCTGCGCCTCTACTGCCTGGCGCGCGCCGGGCCGCCCCGCGCGGCCGCCGTGCTCCGCGAGCTGCGCGCCGGGCCGCACGCGCCCGACCTGCTGCTGCTCAGCTCGCGGCCCTGGCGCGCGGCGCGCCGCCTGCCCGCCTTCCGCCGCCGCCTGCGCGGCCTGTTCGCGCTGCTGCGCCGCCTGCCGGCCGCCTGCCTGCGCGTGTGGCACACGGCGCTGCCCGCGGCCCGCGGCCCCCCGCGCCCCGACCTGCGCCAGGCCGACGCGTGCGGCGCCTCCGAGGCCGCGCGCCACGGCCTGGACGTGCTGGACCTGCACTTCCACTTCCGCCGCCTCGGCCGCCGCCGCCTGCCCGGCGGCCGCTGGGACGCGCGCGCGCACCGCCGCCTCTCGCAGCTGCTGCTGGCGCACGTGGCCGACGCGTGGGGCGTGGACCTGCCGCGCCGCGGGCCCCGCCAGGCCGAGGCCGAGGCCGAGGGCCACGAGGCCCACGAGGGCCCGGACGCAGGGCGGCTGCACCGGCAGCACCACCACCACCAGCACCAGCACCGGCATGAGCAGCACCAGCACCGCCAGCACCAGCATCACCACCACCACCACCAGCAGCACCACCAGCATCACCACCACCACCACCAGCAACATCACCACCACCACCAGCAGCAGCAGCAGCAGCACCATCACCACCAGCATCACCATCACCAGCAGCACCGGCATCATCAACACCATCACTGCCAGCACCGCCAGCATCACCATCAGCAGCAGCATCAGCACCACCAGCACCATCACCAGCCTGACCACCAGCACCACCAGTACCAGCATCACCAGCACCATCACCAGCCCGACCACCAGCACCACCACCAGCACCACCAGTACCAGCATCACCATCACCAGCACCATCACCAGCCCGACCACCAGCACCACCACCAGCCCCACCACCAGTACCAGCATCACCAGCACCATCACCAGCCCAACCACCAGCACCACCAGTACCAGCATCACCAGCACCACCACCAGCCCCACCACCAGCACTACCAGTACCAGCATCACCAGCACCATCACCGCCATCACCAGCAGCATCGCCCCCGGGAGCGCAGGGCGGACTGGCAGGCCGCCTTCGCCAGGGCCCCCTTCGTGCGCCCCCCGCGCCCGCTGCTCCCGGCCCCGCGGCCCTGGCAGCCCCGCCGCGGCCTCCCCGAGCTCCGGGTGGAGTCCACCTTCCAGCCCCGCTCCTCCTCCGGGCGCGGCCTGGAGCACCGCCTGGGGCCGGTCCGCAGGGTGTCCCTCCAGCCCCCGCGCAGGGGGGGCCCGCCATACCCGCCCCGGCGCCCGGGCAGGGAGAGCTAGGGCCTCCGGGCAGGGGCAGGGGCAGGGCCTGCACAGGCTGCAGGGCGGCTCAGGCCTGCTCTTCCGCAGCCCTGCGTGGTGAGGGGTCCTAGGGCTTCTTGCCCTCACCAGGAAACATTCTCACACGGGTTTTTGTTTGGTTTTCATTGCCAGAGCCTGCAGAGCTCGTATTGGTGAGGGGACAAGAACCCAGACCACCGCACTTGCTCATCCACAGGAACACACACACACACACACACACACACACACACACGTCTTAAGGGAATGTGTCTTTGAATAGTAAGTTTTCTTGTCATAGGTATTCTTCCTACAAAAACACACGCTACAAAATACAGTTTTGATCCTTAAAAATGACCAAAACATCTCTATTGAGCACAGTATCACCATTAGTGCTTACATACATTTCCAGAACACAGTCCTCAGAGTTCCCGCCGTAAGCTGTCTGGAAGATTCTTTCATTAAAACGGTGTGTGCTTCCACAACATGCATTCTTTAAAAAAAAGGGGGGCGGGGGGTTCTATTCACCGATGAACGGTTTTTTGGTTGTTGTTAGAAACAGAAATGTTTTTTTTTAATGCAACTTTAGATTCACAGCAAAATGGAGAGAGAAGACGTGTGTTTCCATGTACTTCCCAGTCAACATCCACACCTGGAGCACACCTGTTCTCTTTAGTTGATCTGCCTTGTATACGATTGTCACCCAAAGCCCATTGTTCAGGTGTAAGTTTCAGTTTTGCTGTTGTACATTCTGTGGGTTATATGTATGATGTACAGAATTGTTTCACCGCCATAAAATGTCTCTCTGCTTCTCCTCATCCAACCCCTGTCCAGTCCCTGGCAACCGCCTATGCATGTCTGTCTCCATAATATTGTCATTTCTAGAGTGTTGTATAGTTGGAATCGTACAGTAAGGAACTTTTCCAGATTGGCTTTTTGTTTCTTTTTTCCACTTAGTCATATGCATTTCATGTTCTCCAATGTCTTTTCGTGAGTTAATAGCTCATTTCCTTTTGGTGGTGAATAGTGTTCCGTGGCTGGGTGTACCACTGTTTTTGTCCATTTACCTGAGAAACATCTTAGTTGCACTTGTGAATAAAGCTGTTTTAAACCTTCCTGGGCAGGTTTCTGTGTGGATACAAGTTTTTCGTGATTATTAGGTTGTATGATAAGAGGATGTTCCGTGCTGTAAGACTGCACTTGGTAGTTCCCAGCTGTAGCGTGTGAGAGGTGTGTGTGGCTGCACCACTTGCAGAATTCGGTGTAGTCAGGGTGTTGGATTGTCCCATTCTGATAAGTAGGTGGTGGTATCTCACCGTTGCTAAACCGCAATTCCCTAATGACATAGGACACTGAGCATCTTCTTATATTCATGCTTGCCATCTTTGTATCTTGATGAGATGTCTGTTCCCAGAACTTTTGGCCATTTTTAATTAGTTGTTTGTTTACTGACTGTTGAGTAATTTTTTTCTGATATGTCCTTTAGAAATATTTTCTCCCAGGCTGTGGCTTGTATTTCCTATCAGCATCTTTTGACAGAGCGCAAGTTTGGGGTTTAAGAAACAATTTTTTTATTGTTGACACTAATATATATATATATATATATATATATATATATATATATATATATATATATATATATATCTCCCCTATTTTATCCTCTTTTACCCTTCTCTACCCAGCCCCTGTCATCTGTTGTCTTGTTATCCAGGGGCTGTGCACATAGGTTCTTTGGCCAATCTCTCCACCTTCTCCCATCCAGTTGCCTGCATCTCCCTTCCCTCTGACCTCTGTCAGTCTGTTCTGTATATCTATGCCTGTGTTTCTATTTTGTTCATTAGATTTCACATATAAGTGAGATCATACAGTATTTGTCTTTCTCTGTCTGGCATATTTCACTTACATTCATGCTGTTGCAAAAGGTAAGAATTCCTTCTTTTTTATAGCTGTGTAGTTTTTTATTTTAGTGAAGTCCCGCTTACCGGTTGTTCCATTCATTCATTATGCCTGTTGTGTTGTATCTAAAAAGTTACCCAAATCCAAGATCATCTAGATTTTTCTCATTTTATTTTCTAGGGTTTCTTTTTAGTTTTGCATTTTCCATTTAGGTACGTGATCCAGTTTGAGTGAATATTTGTGAAGGGTGTAAAGTCTGTTTGAATTCATTTGTTCTCATGCGGATGGCCGTTTAATCTAGGACCATTTGTTGCCTGAAGTTGAATACTGTCAGTCCTCCAGTTTTGTTCTTCAATATTGGATTGTATATTCTGGGATTTTTGCCCCCAGAAAAATTTTAGAATGAGTTTGTGAATATCCACAAATAGCTTGCTGGGATTTTCATTGTGATTGCACTGAATCTGCAGATCAAGTTCAGAAGAATTGACATCTTGATCATTTTGAATCTACTTGTGTACATAAAATATCTCCCAATTTATCTAGTTCTTTTATTTCTTTTTTCATCAGGATTTTATAGTTTTCTTTATTTAGATATTGTACGTATTTTTTAGATTTATACCCATTTCATTTTGGGGGGTGCTAATGTAAATGGCAGTGGTTTATTTTCTTTTTTAATTCAAGTTGTTTATTCCTGGTATATAGAAAAACAGTTGATATTTGTATATTTACCTTGTATCAGACATCCTTAATGTAACCACTTATTGCTGCCAGGAATATTTTTACTAATTCTTTCAGATTTTCTACATAGACAGTCAGCAATGTCATCTGCTAACAAGTACAGTTTTCCTTTTCTTGTCTTATTGCATTCTCTACATCTTCCAGTATAATGTTGAAAAGGAGTGGTGATAAGGGACATCTTTTCCTTCCACCTAGTCTTAGTGAGAAAGCTTATAGTTTCACCATTAAGCAAGATGTTAACTGCAGGTTTTTGCATATGTTTTTTAAACAAGTTGAGGATGTTTTCAAATTTCTGGTTGGCTGTTTTTATTATAATTGGGGGTTGGTATGAGCGTGTGGATTTTCTTCTGTAGCTTGTTGACGTGATGGATTACATTAATTTGTTTTTTTTGGATGTTGAACCAGCTTTGCATATTTGAAATAAATCCTATTTGGTCACAGTGCAGCCTTTATTATACATCTTTAGATTTAACTTACATTCTTCAATATTATAACATCTGTATTCTTGAAAGATACTGGTTTCTTTACTTGTAAAGTCTTTGGTTTTGGGAGTAGGGTAATGCTGGCCTCATGGAATGAGTATGGAAGTATTCCCTCTGGATCTAACTTTTGGAAGAAACTGGAGAGAATTTGTTATCATTTCTCCCATAAATGTTTGGTTATCATTTCTCCCATAAATGTTCACCAGGGAACCCATCTAGTACTGACGCTTTCTGTTTGGAAAAGTTATTAATGATTTGTTCAATTTCTTTAATAACTATATGCCTATTCAGATTGTGTATTCTTATATGAGTTTGCCAGTATTGTGTCTTTCAAGGAATTGGTTCATTTCATCTAGACTAATAAATATGTGGACAATAGGGTTGTTCATAATGTTATTTTTATTTTGATGTACACAAGATCTGCAGTGATGTCAATCAGTTATAAATAAAAGTTTTCATTTTGCTTTAACTTATTCCTTCTCTAATGCTCTTTATTCCTTACACTGATTGAGATTCTGACATGTCATTTTCTTCTTCTCTGAAAAACTAACATTTATTGCAAAGTAAATCTATTGGCAACAAATTCCTTCAATTTTTGTTTGCCTGAGAATGTATGTCTCTTTCAATTTGAAGGATAATTTTATAGGGTACAGAAGTTTAAAAGTGTTTATTTTTCTCTTGACACTTTATATAGTTCACTCTTTATTTGTATGATTTCTGAAAAATTTGATGTAATTCTTATCCTTGCTCTTCTATAGGTGAGGTATTTCCTCTGGCCTTTTGCAAGATTTTTTTTTTCCCTTTACCTGTAGTTTAAATATAATACGCCTAAATGTAGATTTTTTTTTTTTTTTTACATTTATCCTGCTTCATGTTATCTGAACTTCCTGGATCTATGATCAGTTTCTGAAATTAATATCAGTCATTATTGGTTCAAATTTTTTTGTTTGTTTCTTCTGCTCTTTCGTCTCTATTATTCCCATTATGCCCATGTTAACCCTTTCGTAGTTGTCCCACAGTTCCTATATATTCTGTTATTTTTTTTTTTTAGCCCCTATTTTCTTTGTTTTTTTAGCTCTGGAATTTCTATTGACATACTCTTAAGCTCCCTGTTTCTTCTCTCAACTGTGTCAGTCTACTAATGAGCCCATCAAAGGCAGTCTTTATTTCTGTTACAGCATTTATTCAGTTCTTTCTTATTTTTTCTTAGAATTTCTGTCTCTCTGCTTGCATTACCCATGTGTTCTTGCATGTTGTCTGCTTTTTCCTTTAAAGCCTGTAGCATATGAATAATCACAGTTGTTTTCAATTCTCAGTCTGATCATTACAACATCCCTACCATATCTGAGTCTGGTTCTAGTGCTTGCTCTGTCTCTTTAAACTATTATTTTTACCTTTTATTATTATTTTTAAAAATATATTTTGTTGATTTTTTACAGAGATGAAGAGAGAGGGATAGAGAGCTAGAAACACGGATGAGAGAGAAACATCGATCAGCTGCTTCTTGCACATTCCCTACTGGGGATGTGCCCGCCACCAAGGTGCATGCCCTTGACCGGAATCGAACCTGGGACCCTTCAGGCTGACGCTCTATCCACTGAGCCAAACCGGTTTCAGCTATTTTTACTTTTTAATACGCCTTGTAATGTTTCATTGAAAGCTAGACACAATGTACCAGGTAAAGGAACTGTGATAAACAAGCCATGATCTGGGTAGGGTGGGCGCTGGGGGAGGAAGGATTCTTTAGTGCTATCATTAGGTTTTCGTCTTTTAGTAAACCTGAGCCCCTGTACCATGACTTTCATAAATACTTTCCATTTTCACACACACACCCTGATGGTTAGAGGGGCTGGAGTTGGATATTTTCTTTCTGTCAAGTTGGTTAGG